TATTGTTAATATCTAATGGTAAGCTTAGCCTAGACGCACAGATCTGCAGTCTCAACTCTTACAAAGCTAAGGCAGGGGGATCACAATATTCAAGGCTAGCGCGGGGTAGAAGAGTGAGACCCTGTCTCAAAGAACAAAGCCTGATGCTGAACTTAAATTAGAAGCAAATCCATTCCCCCCCACACACTGTGTCTTATAGATATAACTGATGGATATTTGGATGAAAAAAATGTTTTTTTGTCCATAACAAAAATCATCATAAGCAGCAAGCTGAAGTCTATGGAAGACACAAGTAGCCTGGGTACTTAGAAGGCCAAGGCAGGTGGATTTTATGAGCTCAAGAGTTTCAGGTCAGCTGGTAACAGATACACACACTTCATCTCAATTGCATGTATGCATAGACTGATACATGTAACATACATACATGAATTTGTATATATCATAACCTATGTGACTTATAGCCAATAGGAATTTGCTCCCAAGTTTGGAGACCATGAATTCCAAAGTTAAGGTACCATCAGGTGTGCTATATATTGACGACTAGCTTTCTCACCAAAGATTGCTCTTTTTGGTCACACTGGGCTGATAGGACAAATAATGATGCCCGTGACCTGAGCGCCTAGTGGCCCAACTCTCAATATTCTCACTGTAGAGTGCAGGTTTAAGGTGACCTGATAATAGATGTCACAGCGGCAAAGGACAAGGTCAGATAGAGACAGGAAAAGGCTTGAAGGGACACCTGGTAATTCAAGCAGGCTTTAGCAACAGTAGGAGATTTGCTGAGTCACAGCACAGGTGTGTTTAACTTTTGCAGAAAAGGTCAACCTGTCTTTCAACATGACTACACCACTTTGCATCCCCTCCAGCCATGTGTGTGTGAGCATACCAGTGGCTCCATGATTTTCCAACACTGAGTATGTATGTTCATATGCAGTAGTGTCTCCATGAAGAGGATTCTGTAGACTTTAGTCCCTCTCCCCCTTCTTGTCTGTAAATGAAAGGTTCCAGATCCACCCCTTCCAGCACACACACAGAATTATTTGAGAGTCTTCCTCATTCTACATGTTTATGACGGTCTCCACCATCATCCATGAAGGGCCTTTGAATGATGCTGCACTGGGTGACAGAGTACATGGGAACCTTCCCCCACGTTATGCTACAAAACCAACCAGGGTTAAGTGGACTCACCAGATTGTCCAGGTAACACAAAGAAGTTACTTCCATGTTTCATGTCTTTGAGCTTGGAAGAAGTGGAGGAGGGTGGGTGGACCCTTCAGATCCCACAGCCCAGATGTTCTCCAGAAAGGGAGAGAGAGAACATCAGCCTAGACAGGGCCTGAAAGCACAGAGAGTGCGTACAGGAGACACTAAATCTATAGCATTTATGGATGGGATGATTTGTATGTTCCACATTGCAAACACCAGGGGGCAGAAGAGAGACAAGACTGTCTCAGCCTTGGCTCAGTAGCTGGGCAGAGAAGATCTCTTCCTCTGAGTGCAAGAAGACCTCTGCCTGGTGCTCTCACTGGGGACTGGAGGCGTTTGTGAGCTCCTGCTGCACATGTGCATCTGTGGAGTCTCCATTTCTGCTGACGTACACAGGACACCTCACCAAATGGCCTTTAGAATTTCAATGGCTGTGTCATATTTTTTTTTATTGATTTGTATTGAGTTTAACATTTTACTCTGCTTCCCTCCCTGCCTCTCCCCTCCCCTCAACCCTCTCCCAAGGTCCCCATGCTCCCAATTTACTCAGGAGATCTTGCCTTTTCTACTTTCCATGTATATTAGATCCATGTATGTCTCTCTTAGGGTCCTCATTGTTGTCTAGGTTCTCTGGGATTGTGATGTATAGGCTGGCTTTCTTTGCTTTATGTTTAAAAACCACTTCGAGTGAGTACATGTGATAATTGTCTTTCTGGGTCTGGGTTACCTTGCTCAAAATGATGTTTTCTAGCTCCATCCATTGGCCTGAAAATTTCAAGATGTTGTTATTTTTTCTGCTGTGTAGTACTCCATTGTGTAAATGTACCACATTTTCCTTATCCATTCTTCAGTTGAGGGGCAATTAGGTTGTTTCCAGGTTCTGGCTATGACAATGCTGCTATGAACATAGCTGAGCACATGTCCTTGTGGCATGACTGAGCATCCTTTGGATATATACCCAAAAGTGGTATTATTGGGTCTTGAGGAAGGTTGTTTCCTAATTTTCTGAGAAATTGCCACACTGACATCTAAAAGGGTTGTACCAGCTTGCATTCCCACCAGCAGTGCAGAAGTGTTCCCTTTACCCCACAACCTCTCCAGTATAAGTTGTCATCAGTGTTTTTGATCTTGGTCATTCTGAAATGAGATGAAATCTCAGAGTTGTTTTGATTTGCATTTCTCTGATGACTAAGGATGCTGAGCATTTCCCTAAGTGTCTTTCAGCCATTTTAGATTCCTCTGTTGGGAGTTCTCTGTTTAGGTCTGTACTTCATTTTTTTTAATTGGATTATTTGTTTTTTTGATGACCAATTTTTTGAGTTCTTTGTATATTTTTTGAGATCATACCTCTGTTTAATGTGGGGTTGGTGAAGATCTTTCCCATTCTGTAGGCTGTCGTTTTGTCTTGTTGATTGTGCCCTTTGCTTTACAGATGATTTTCAGTTTCAGAGGTCCCATTTATTAATTGTTTCTCTCAGTGTTTGTGCTGCTGAGGTTATATTTAGTGGTTTCCTGTGCCAATGCATTCAAGTGTACTTCCCACTTTCTCTTCTATAAGGTTCAGTGTGACTGGCTTTATGTTGAGGTCTTTGATCCACTTGGACTTGAGTTTTATGCTACTTGTGGCTTTTATCTCAAGATCATGAGAGATCTTTCCATTTTCTGGTATTTTCTTCAATTTCTTTTTTCAGAGACTTAAAGTTCTTCTCTATCTATCTGTCTATCTATTATCTATCTATTTTATTTCTTTTTTATCTCTCATGCTCTTCCTACTCACTCTCTGCCTCCCTCCATAGAACTGAGTATCTTCTTCATCTGACATTTTTCCTGTGGCCATGGCCATCATCAGCACAGGCCTCTGAATAGTGGTGCAGTGAGCGGCAGAGCACACGGGGATTTCCCCAGCTGAGCTACAAAAATATCTGGAATCACAAAGCCCAGGGATGCCCGGGATCCATTGGTAATCTAGTTCTTTCATCCAGAGACTGGAGGAACTGGAGACTTCTCAGCCCTCATGGTCCAGCTCTTCCTTAGGTTGTGAACTTGAAGTGGAGAGAACACCTGCCAAGAAATACTAGGAGCACAGTCAGGACGGGTGCATTGGAGGGGTGACAGTGAATCAAAGGAGCCCTGTTGACTAGAGGAGGCAGCAGCTGAGCTGTGATGTGACAGGAAAACAGACAGAGACACCAAGGAAGAAGTCACACAGCGCCATGCTATGGGGGCTCTAGACTATTATAGAGATAATAATGAAGATAATTTGGAGCCAAAGCCAATTCTCAGGTGGCACTAAAGGTTGTCTGACACTGACCCCCATGCATTTCGTCTAGGAAGCCAGTCTGGACTATGGGCTCCTGATCCTGCATCCTTTGATATATCATGCCAGTGTTTTATTGTGAGTCTAAGACTTCTACTTATACATTTTTATCTCAGGTTCATCATAGCTCATGAGACCTCAGATTGAACCCCTGTGTTGGAACATGCAAGGCCTAATCCAATGCTTATCACATGGTTACATATGATATTGGTCAGGAGGTGGTAAGAGAACTTCACTCCAATCCTGATAACCCAAGCTCCCACTTTGAACTTCATATGGTGGAATTAGAGTATGGCTTATGCAAATGTCCCTTCATCTCCACATGCGAGCCAGGGCCTGGGATAATCTACACACACACACACACACACACACACACACACACACACACAAACGTACATGACCACAACAAATAAATAAATGCACACATTTAAAATATTTGTTAAATGGAAAAATGACTGTGAGGTTGATCTCGGCAGGAGCAGGCCACTAGAGGAGACACATCCCAAGGGTGGAGTGAATAGAGTACAGTTTTGTACTCTGTTTTGATCAAACAACTGTGACCTAACAGAGAGGTGTCCATGTAGACACTAAGAATGTTGTAGAGATCAGGGACCCTGGATCCAGGCTCAGTAAACTGAGACTTCCAAGCACAGAAGAGTCTTGAGGATGAAGGTCACACTCAGAGCTCCTGCATCTGCCTGTCTCTCCTGTGACATCTCAAGTGTGTCCCTACTCACAGAAGCCCTCTGTCTCTCCTGTGACATCTTGAGTGTGTACCTACTCAAAGAAGCCCTCTGTCTATCTGTGACATTTTGAGTGTGTACCTACTCACTGAAGCCCTCTGTCTGTCTGTGACATTTTGAGTGTGTACCTACTCACTGAAGCCCTCTGTCTGCCTGTGACATTTTGAGTGTGTACCTACTCAAAGAAGCCCTCTGTCTGTCTGTGACATTTTGAGTGTGTACCTACTCACTGAAGCCCTCTGTCTGTCTGTGACATTTTGAGTGTGTACCTACTCACTGAAGCCCTCTGTCTGTCTGTGACATTTTGAGTGTGTACCTACTCACTGAAGCCCTCTGTCTGTCTGTGACATTTTGAGTGTGTACCTACTCACTGAAGCCCTCTGTCTGTCTGTGACATTTTGAGTGTGTACCTACTCACTGAAGTCCTCTGTCTGTCTGTGACATCTTGAGTGTGCACCTACTCACAAAAGCCCTCTGTCTCTCCTATTACATCTTTCTGTTAATGTGTGAGGACTGGGCTCCTGGAGTCCCAGAAGAGCTTCAGAATCAATACTGTGCCTTTCCAGGGCCAAGGAGGGAACAGAAAGAGCAGGGTTACTTTGCCCTGCCTCCTGGACATTGGCTCCTGTCACTCTGACTAATCAGTTCTCCAACAATGAGAACTTTGCCCCACCACACCAAGGTCCCCGCCCATATCCTTTTGATTTAAATTCATAGCTAGGGAAGACCAACAGATTCTGTTTCCTGTTTGTGAAACTTAGTCGTCCTCTGTAACAGCAGAGACTCAGGCCTGAGAGCTGATCATGCCACTGAACCAGCTTCATAGCTGGCTGAATGCTGCGGTCTTTGGGCTCCTGCTTCTCCTCCTCCATGTGCAGGGTGAGGCTCACTAAGCTGGCAATGGGAATGACTAGAATCAGAGCTGCCAAATTCTGCAGAATCAGAGGCTGAGCTCGTGGGAGGGAAGGTCAATGAGCAGGGGTGCGGGGGGGGGGAGGGTGATGGAAAGAAGAGACTAAAGTTTGGGAAGCATGTGCCTCCCAATGTCCTAGCCAAAGCACACTGATATTGAGGGTCAGAGATGTCTAAAATCTCTCCATAGTGAGGAGACAGTTCAGTGTAAGGAGCTCTGGAGAATGCTAGACAATTCAAGGAAGAGTAAGCGGAAGGAATTTTTTCTTCCTCAAAGTATGGCTCTTACTGTAGCTACTGCTGACTTTTGGATAAGAATGACAATAATCATAATTTCATGTGGCCAAATATCTCAGAGTGTGTGAACTCTTTGGCCAGAGAAATGCTCTGACCCCCTGAAAAGGGCAATAAGAAAGGTTCCTGATTCTGAGGGATAGGGAAGTTCCCACACTCACACCCCACAGCTGAACTAGGAGGTCCTTTCTTTCATGTCCTGGTAGCAGTGAGATGGGAACTCCCACAATCTGCTGGCAGCTGATTGCACACAACTAACCCAGATGGCATTTCTCTAAACAGGTCAGGACTCCTCAGAGGCCAGCCCCATCAGAAACACACACACGGGCCAGGTCCGAGGCAGCCTCATCCGAGTGAGTGACACTAAAGTTGGTGTCCACACCTTCCTGGGAATCCCCTTTGCCAAGCCACCTGTAGGACCGCTGCGTTTTGCACCCCCTGAAGCCCCTGAACCTTGGAGTGGTGTGAGAGATGGGACCTCCTATCCAGCCATGTAAGTTCTGGACCCAGAGGACGTCTGGCCCTGGGGTGAACAGTTGCTCTGAGCTCTGAGTCATGCTGAAGTCTTTCCTCCATCTCAGTCCACAGCAGTTTTCTCTCACTGTGGGGAGTCCACCATGCAGTTTTCTTTCTTTTTTTGCCATGCATTTTTCTAACACATGTGCTAAGGTTGTGTAGAACAACTGTACCAGCTCCTGGGTCAGAGCTAGGCACCATTGAGAGTTAGATGCAGGTACTATAGAAAGGAACAAAAGTAAAATTGTTTACAACTTCAAATTAAGCCCAGTGTTCTCTGCCACAATGGGAGGAATCTTGAGGCATGAGTTGGGTGACCTATTAAGCAGAGAGAACCCCTGAATCCACTAATACACTTCAGGTTCTGAGCAGTACAGTGTGATGGATACTTGCTAACCCTGTCCTCACAGACACTGTGACAACCTATAGGTTGACCAAGGAACTATATATGTAACTAATTCCCTCTGAAGACAGCATATGGAAATGAAGTTCCCTGAGAGTCTGTACATGGGTGAAGGATTTCTCACTGCCCTTTAGGAACAATGGACTCGACACTCTAATACCTGTGGAGCGCAACACTCCAATATTGCATCTAAGTCTGTTTTCTGTTGCTGCAATAAAGTGACAACAAAGCAACTTATTGGAGAAAGCTACTATGGGGAGATAGCTACTATTAAAGGCTCTAGAGTATAATCCACCATATTGGGGAAGTTACACTGAATTACATGATCCGGTCACATCACATCCACAACCAGGAACAGAGAGGAGGAAACACTTGCATGCCTTGCATTGCTAAGGTCTAGGTCACTTTTCTATTCTTATAACTTCAGTGAATGTCACTGCATACAGTCAATCATTTCCATACAGACACTGAGATGTCCCTATATACCAGACTCAGAAAAAAATATACAGACCCAACCAAACTGGAGGACCCTACCCCAGCTTTCCTGGAGCATGTGGCCATCACCTTGGTGGAAGGGACCTCAGAGGGGGAACATGTGTTATTAGGACATCACAAAGAGCAGCAGCTGGAGGTGGGGAAAAAAGATCCAGGCTCACATTTGCTTCTGACCACCATATGTCTCTTGGAATATCTCTCTGCTATTTCCATCAGCTGTCTGCAAAACCTTGAAATGATGAATTCAGAGGGCCTGATGGATATGAAACTGCCCCTGCCTGCATTCTCTATGTCTGAGGACTGCCTGTATCTCAACATCTACACACCAGCTCATGCCAATGAGGGCTCTAACCTGCCTGTGAGTGTCCGGACATGGTCAGCTCGGGGGAGGGCATGGTTTTCAAGATGATTAGAAGGGATAAAAGCATCCTGAGCTCCACTGTAGTGGGGACTATGCTGAAAAGCCTCTACCTACCAGGTCAAAGATGCCTTCTCAGCCACACTAAGCAGCCGAACTTGGGTATGGAACACAGAACAGGAGCATTGAATGGCTAAAGGCTCCAGCTCTTTGATCAAAGCGGACTCATTCCACAACCTGAGTTCTGTAGAACTACTTAGGTGCTCAAGCCTCAATATTGCGCTTACCTATATATACTTTTGGATTATGTGTTGTGTTGGTGAGAGTTGATCTTTTCCTTTTTTAGTCTGGAGAGACAACCGTGGAGGCTCCCCTCTTTGTTCCACTATGCAGAGTCTGAGTAATGACGACATTGCTCTACACAAAGACCCATTAGTTCAAACTGAGGCACATGGTGGGATGGGCACTAGAAATACACTGATGGGGCTACTAGAGGACCTGCCTATGACTAAGGTCCTGAAGTCCCGAGGATTTGCATGTATTTGTGTAGCTGCACAGAGGCCCAGCAGTTGATGCTCTAATAAGCAGTCTTGCAAAATTGGAATAGTTATGAGCTTTATGGCATCTCTCTTGACTTCTCCAGGTGATGGTGTGGATCCATGGTGGTGCTCTGGTTATAGGCATGGCTTCTATGAATGATGGATCCATACTGGCAGCCACTGAGGATGTGGTGGTTGTCACTATCCAATACCGCCTGGGTGTCCTAGGATTCTTCAGGTAAGACTAGGATTTGGTGGACAATGGCAGCTGGAAAGAACCTAGACAAGCCTATGATCCATGTCCTTCCACTTCTCAGCACTGGAGACCAGCACGCCAGAGGCAACTGGGGCTACCTGGACCAAGTGGCCGCCCTGCACTGGGTCCAGCAGAACATCGCCCACTTTGGAGGCAACCCTGACCTTGTCACCATTTTTGGTGTGTCAGCAGGTGGCACAAGTGTGTCTTCACTTGTTGTGTCCCCCATGTCCAAAGGACTCTTCCACAGAGCCATCATGCAGAGTGGAGTGGCCCTGCTGCCTGACCTTATCTCTGACACCCACGAGAGGGTCTACACTGTGAGTGCCCTCAACCACCAATGACTGAGACTGCCTTCTCAGCCTTCAGATTATGGTACTCTGGTCTTCTGTCTCATGGGGAAAATAATGGCCATGGAAAAGAGATTCCAGTAATTATTGAGAAACTCAGGGGTTAGTTTCTACTCGCCTCCACTTCATACTGGGTGATCATGTTATCTGACCAGCAAACTGCTCCAAGTAGCTTCCAATACCAACAAAAATAAATATGCATACGCTCAGGAAGATAGCTCAGTGGATTTTTAAAGTGCTTGGAGTATAAGCCTGAGGACCTAAGTTCAAACAACCAGAACCCTGAAAAGGCTGGAGAGAGTAGGATGTCTGTAATTCCAAGGTTCCTGTGCTCACGTGGGGGACACAGAAACAAGAGATTCCCTGGATGTTCAGAGGGTAGCTCAAACTAGGAGCAGAAAACAAGAGGACAACCTGTCTCAAATAAGGGGCATCTGTGAAGAAAGGGGACCTGGTCCTCTAATGTTTGCCTACAAACACTAGCACACTTACTCCTTCTCTCACATATGATATACAGAAGGACGGCTGAGGTTAGCAAAACTACCCTTAGGGAAAACATGAGGAGGTAGAGAGGATACAGTCTGAAGCCTGTCACCTTTGAAGAATAGGACAAAGGGAATGATTTATATTTGTAACAATCCACACCCAACACACACCATAGTATGGTATCTAGGGCAATAGCATTGAATTGAAATTGTAAATATTCTTCTCCCCACCTGTTCCCCTTCACAGACAGTGGCCAGCCTGTCTGGATGTGAGACCATGGACTCAGAGACCCTGGTGCACTGTCTGAGAGGCAAGAGTGAGGCAGAGATTCTGGTCATTAACAAGGTAAGTAGAATTGTGTGCCTTGGAATATCTTGTCAGACTTTGTGTTCTTTAGTTCTGTGTACAATATGAACACCAAGATAGGCAAGTGTAGATTTTCTTCCAGAGTGAGCTGAGAACTCTGAGGCCAGTAAGAAATATGAAAATGGTGGAGGTAACTCAGTGAGCATCAATATACATATTTCATTGACCTTCAGCATTGACTTTTAATGCCCCTCAGGTCTTCAAGATCATCCCTGCTGTGGTAGATGGGGTTTTCCTACCCAAGCATCCCCAAGAGTTGTTAGCTTCTGTGGATTTTCGTCCTGTCCCCAGCATCATTGGTGTCAACAATGATGAGTATGGTTGGGTCATCCCCGTGGTGAGTCTCAGTTCTAATCCTTTGGGAGATTGGTGATTCATATGCTAAACAGTGGGGACACAATGCATCTTTAAAGAAGTCCATCAGAAAGCCGGGTGGTGGTGGCGCACGCCTTTAATCCCAGCACTCGGGAGGCAGAGGCAGGCAGATCTTCGTGAGTTCGAGGCCAGCCTGGTCTACAAGAGCTAGTTCCAGGACAGGAACCAAAAGCTACAGAGAAATCCTGTCCCGAAAATCCAAAAAAAGAAAAAAGAAAAAAAAAAGTCCATCAGAACCCACACTTAACAGGGTCTTCTACAACCCAGATGTTCGGCTCTGCTCAGACAATAAAGGAAATAACAAGGGAGAACCTGCAGGCTGTTTTGAAGAATACAGCATCACAAATGGTGAGATACTGCTGGTCCTATCCAAATGGAGACATCCCTAATAGCCCTTCTCAGATAGCATCCCTATTAACGAAGGTCAGCATATGTGTGTGATTCTGTGGGGTGGGGGTGACCTCAGAGCATGAACCTCTTTACCTATGATCTCTCTCTGACCAGGCCGCATTCTCCCCATACCAAATGCTGCTGCCAAACTAACTGAGACCATGCCTAACCTCATTCATCCTGATCTCTTGGTGTAGATGTTGCCTCCTGAGTGTGGCGACCTGATAATGGAAGAGTACATGGGGGACACTGAGGACCCACAAGCCCTCCAAATACAGTACACGGAGATGATGGCAGACTTCATGTTTGTGATCCCTGCACTCCAAGTAGCACATTTTCAACGTGAGTACATCTGTAACAAGGATTAGGAGAGCTGCTCAGTGATGTAGACCATGGGTGAGCACTGTGGAGCAGTGTTTTACCATGAGCTTTTCCATAGCTAGAGTTCCAGCCTGGAACTTGCTCTCCCCTTTCACATTTATGATTCCAGGTAACTTTATATCAAGGTACCTTGTCAATAAATATGAATCAGCAAAATAATCCAGTTGATGGGCCAAGTCACTGTTTGTCCTTACCTCCAGGTTCCCATGCTCCTGTCTACTTCTATGAATTCCAACATCAACCCAGCTACCTCAAGAGTTTCAAGCCACCCTATGTGAAGGCTGACCATTCTGATGAGGTTCCTTTTGTCTTTGGGTCCTTCATCTTTGGTATAAAACGTGAGTCTTCCTTATTCTCCTTCAGCTGATTGAGGGCACAGATGACATCCCAGGGACTCCTGAGCTCTCTGTCCATTTGAGAAAAACTAGATTCTGGGAGAGAATAAATTCAAATGTGTATCATACCGTAGACTAAAAAATGATACCAGGATTAGAATCGGAACCCATGCCAGTCTAGCCTGTGACAGAGATGACAGCACACTGGGCAGGGATTCCATTAGAGGATTGCATGGATGTTGACTATTGTATAGTGAAGAAGGGAGGTAAGAAAGCTGATAGTTTAGGTCTGACAGCAGATGGGATTCTGTGGGAAACATGTTTGGTTCACGGACTTCAAGATTTTTCTCATGACTTCAGTTGTCCTCACTGAGGAGGAGAAGCTACTGAATGAAAGGATGATGACGTACTGGGCCAACTTTGCTAGACATGGGTGAGAACACACCTTTCTCTCAACCTTCCCTTATGGGTCCCTGTATAGGTCTCCCTTTTGGGTGATGGTCTCTTTAGTTTTCCTGAATCTTCCATCACACGATAGATTCCTCTCCTGGATAGCACATATATATAGCTACTTTGTAGGTGTCAGTTACTGGTCATCTCACAGTGACCTGGTTCCTGAGACATAGTGCTCTGGTACTGTTCTTTATTTCTTGCCTCTTAGATTAGATATAAAACATATCAAGGAGTCTTCCCCCACATGGAACAGAAACTAGTGGGTGACACTTGTGTCCCTTTATCAGGACACCTGTCCCATCAGCCCCATTAACCACTGGCCTAATGTTCCACTGCCTTGACCCAAATCAGGGGGTCAGACTTTGGATCAGAGTGACCTCACCCTTCCCTCCTGGTTGGTATATCCACAGGAACCCCAACAGCGAGGGTCTACCCTACTGGCCCATGATGGACCATGATGAGCAGTACTTGCAGCTGGACATCCAGCCTGCTGTGGGCCGAGCCCTGAAGGCCAGAAGACTGCAGTTCTGGACCAAGACTCTGCCCCAGAAGATCCAGGAGCTAAGGAAATCTCAGCACATGCACAAAGAGCTATAGTGCCCTGTGTGAGGAATGGTGTGTAGCATTGGCTGCCGATGGGGTCACCTTGAGGTTCCCAAAACTTATTGAGTGAGCTGGGTTGATCCTAACACTCACATAACCTCTGCACTAGTCTGTTCTGCATTCATCATGAATCCTCTGCCTGTGATTCTATCCTGCTGGGTCATCTTTGTTAGACCCACTCAATGAATGCTCCATAACAACAGGAATTGTTAACCTTCCAAGCAGGCTCAGCTCCTTTCACACTCCACTGGTACTAGGCCTCTTCACAAGTTAAAACCTGCCTGAGCTATAGAACAAGCTCTTGGAAGGGCTAGATTAGTTATGCTTTCTCTCCACAAGAGAAACTCAAAAAATTATAAAAATATAATTTCAGTGAGTGGGTTAATAAAGGGGGAGAAAGAGGAAAAGAAGGAAATGGATGTGGAGGAGAAGAAAGGGAGGAAGATAAGGAAGAGGAGGAAGGGTAAAGTAGAGGAAGAAATAATGAAGTTGGAAGGAGAATATTGTGTACGTTTCGGGGGTCTTGAGGGTGTTGGGATGTAGGATTGCATAAAACACATTGTAACAATGTATGAATTTACCAAGGAATTAAAGTTTCCAAATATCTGGGAAACAGGTTCGTGCCACATTTCTTACACGGCCCATATAAGACCAATTCTGTCCACTGTAAGCAGAGACTGTGCTTTCATTTCACAGATGCCCAGACTGAAATAATCACACAGAGACTATAATAATTACATCACTGGCCAATGACTTAGGCATATTCCTAACTAGCGCTTACATTTTAAATTAAACCATTTTTATTAAATATATATATATAATATACTTATATATAATATATATATAAATTAACCCATTTTTATTAAATATATATATTGCCACAAAGCTGTGGCTTACTGGTTCTTGCATTTTCCTCCTTCAGCAGCTACACGATGTCTCCTTCAACTCCGCCACCTCTTTCTTATCTCTGTTCAGAATTACTGCCTGGATTTACTTTGCTAAGCCAAAACAGCATGTTCACTATGGTCTGCACCACCATCACTGAAAGGCCCTTGTGACAGAGCATGTAGGGACCCTCCAACAAGTCACACTACATATAGGGATCAGAGGATACACCAGGCTGGACAGGTAACACAGAGAAACTACTTCCACTAATTTGAACTTGGGCATTGTTCATAGGCCAGCCATTCCTTGGTTTGGAGAGAGAGAGAGAGAGAGAGAGAGAGAGAGAGAGAGAGAGAGAGAGAATATCTTTCCCTGGTAGGAGCATATTGGATGGAGACTCTGAAGACTCTGAATCTATAGAATTCTTTACTGATTGGATGACTGGAGGAGGAAGGTGAAGTCAATTCTGTACCTGGTCAACGAGAACACTGTAATCCACTGACGAGAAAAGTCTACTGTTCTGGACTGTGAGTGCACTGGACTTGGCTGGACAGAAAAGCCAAGGTTAGCCAGTCCTTAGGTGTCCCTAAAGTCTGAGGTTGCTTACCCCCTCGTCCAGGAGTTCACACTGAGCTATTGCAGAATCTTTGTCCTGTACTCTCTTTGTATCCTGGCAGGATCCCTGGGATTCTGAATCCCCTGTTCATGGGCCAGTATCTCATTTTATCACAGGCTCTGGGAGCCTAGAGAGTCCCAGTGTGGGAAACAACAGGGCCTAAAAATGTTTGTCAGGTGGATAGAAATGTCTCTAGTTTGATCTCAGTGGGAGTTTGCCAATAGTGTGGGTACAGAATGGAAGATGATGAATAAGAGACAGGCAATTAAGGAAAACACATAAAAGTAAACAGAGAAACACGACGAAAATGGTATCAGCGAGAAAATTGACTTAACAGCTACCTACATAAAAGTCCATCCAAACACTACAGATGATACACATTATTTCCAGCACTTCTGGAACACTCTATAAGTTATCTCTCTCTCACACACACACACTCATACACACACACATATGTGTGTGCATGTATATATATATATGATAGAAACATATATACATATATATATGACAGAAAGAACATTTTGCCCAATATAGAAAAACTGAAAACATTTCTCCTATTTTATTACAATGGAATAAACTCTGCACTCGCAACAAAAGAAACTATAGAGCATGCAGAGTCTTATCGAGATTAACCAATATGCTTTTGAATGATGAGTATGTCATTGAAAAAATAAAAAATGAAGCTTAAAATTCAACAAATGAAATAAAATGGAAAAGAAACAAATGAAACAAAAAAGACAACATAAAAAATTCCATGGGAGATATGCAGTCATGAGGGGTGCGTTGGTGTTTGTAGGCCTAAGTCCCTAGGTATGAACTGCAAATGTCCTTGCCTTTCTCCCTCTGTGGTTTCTCCATCTGTGGGATCCCCTGCACACACCTGCTGAGAGATTCGGACTCTCCCATGCAGCCTTTTGCTTCCTACTCCCCACCTGTCCCCCAGGCTGGGTCTGTGACAAGGAAGTCACCCTGATTTGGGGTGGGGTTAGGGATAAGGGTCACTGATACTCAGAATGACTTCAGAGTCCATGCTGTGCCTTCTGAAGGGGGTGCAATAAAAAGACAAAACAGATAGGTGTCTTGCCAGCCTGATAGACGGATAAGCACAGACTCTCTTCACCTCTGTGGGTTCAGTGCCAGTCTCCTGGGACATTGCCTTGCACTGCCCCAAAGAGTTCTCACCTATACCTTGTTGAGTTCAAATTCCTACCTGGGTGAGGCCCACAACTGCTTCCTGTTGGGAAACACAGTGCATCCATTGCAGCACAAACCCAGGCCCAGGAACTAGCTGAGTGGTCCTCACCTGCCAGTAGCGACCACTTTGTGTGTGGGGTCAAGTGACCCTTTCTGACGGGTCACATATCCCATGTTCCATGTATCAGATATTTACATTATTGTTCATAATTGTAATGAAATTACACTTATGAAGTAGCAACACAAAATTTTTATGGTTGGGGTCACCACAACATAAGGAACGGTCTTAAGAAATCACAGCATTAGGAAGAGTGAGAACCACTGACAAACCTGACTATGCTGCTGGATAAACTTCCTGGCTTCCTGAAGACCACAGCCTGTGGGTTTCTGCTTCTCCCCCCGTGTGTTCAGGGTAAGACTCTGAAAGAGGAAGATGGAAACAGGGTCAGAACTGCCAACCTTTGCAGAGTCAGAGACTGACAGCAGGAGGAGGCAAGGGATCAGGGAGGGAGGAGCTTATGGAGAATGACAGACAGCAGTGAGGGACAATGCCTCTGCTAAAGCAAACACAGTAGCCCTATAGCACACACAGGGTCAATGACACCCGAGGACACTCAGCACCGAGGAACAACAGTGTGAGGGGTTCTGATGAGGGCTGGGCCTGGAGTTCAGAGGACCAGGCAGACGGTCAGGAGCAGAGGGACAGATAGGGCATTTCTCTTTGCTGTGTGTGTCTGTGTCTAGACTGTGGCTGCTGAGGACCCTAGGGTAGCAATGAAACTATTAATGGCATCATTGGGATCATATGACTCACCACTTAGGTCAGAGAATTACCCAGGTGCCCCAGAAAGATTATGGAGAGTATCCTGGACCAAAACAGAACTAGAACCCTCCAGCCTCAAACCACCCTGCTGAAATGAGAAGACAGGATCCATCAACGTGTCTGACCTTGGGCAAAGGTACAAGGTGGATTCTAGGGCAAGGAGCATGTGGTCTAGGCCTGCCACATGGTCTTCAGGTCCTCACAGAAGCTGAGCCAAGAGAGTACCAGGGCAGGGTGTGTGTGCAAACCTTGATGTCTCTTATCTCCATACATTCTCCTGTGAACTCTGAGACAATTGTGCCACTCCCCCAGTCACAGCCACTCTAAGGATGCTATACTTCTCTCAGCCTGAGACCCTTGTCTGCGGTTTCCTGGGTTCTAGTTAATGTGCACTGAGCATTATAGGCAAGAAGGTCTCTCCTGCTTATACGTGACTGTTCTTCTGAACAGCCTTGCTTCGGGTATCTGGATTTGGAACCTCAGACAACTTTATAAGAAGGCACAGAGTTGTAGCACATTCACCTCTCTGGCACCCAGAGCTGCCTCATATACAGGGACATCAAGATGACAGTGTCTTCTACATAATCCCCAGGATTACTTAAAAAGATAGGTGTGAGCAGGATGTGGAGGCACATGCCTGAGGAACCAGCACTCTTGTGGAGGCTGAGGAAATTGGAGGCTCTCCAGATGAAATCCAGAACTCTGGTAAGAATCTGTTCATACATCAAAGCAATGAGATATTGGACACAATGAAGTGCTACAAAGACACGTGGGGTAAGGAGGGCCCATCCCTTCCTCAGCATTTCTACGTGAGTGATGGACACTGGGGAGGGAAGAAACATTTTTTTTTCCAGTGGAATTGCTACCCAAACCACCCATACTCCTGTAAATAAACTCTCACCCACTTGCTTACTCTAATTTAAATTTTTGGATGATCAATAATGATTTAAAAAAAACCCAGTAAAGTAGAAGATAGACGAGTTTTCAGCAGAAAGGAGAATCGGACAAGAGAGAGTAATATGGGAATGGAAAGGAACAAATTCCTCATTCACACGTAGGAAAATGTCATAATAAAACCCATTATTTCATATCATCAGTATATACTAAGAGAAAACCTAGAGAAAAAGAACTCCAACACAATAAGTTTGCCCGTGAAGATTGTCTACATCAAGACAACATTCCTTTGTAGAGTGATGTTTTCAGAGTAGAGTATTATAAGAGCTTTCACTGTGCTGCAGGCCTAAGCACGCTCAGCTTTTACTCCTCTGCCAGGTGTAATACTCTAAGGCTCTGGGAACCTCACAAGAAAGACCTTGTTTGCAGTTCCACATCCCTGGTTGGCTGCTGTCCAGTGCACATCAGCAACTATACATGATCCTATTCAACAAAAGAGAAGAGTTTCTTAGCATGTAACTCCAGAAGCCTCCAAAATCCATTGTATGTCTCACTCTTGAGCAGTCAACACCCATGCTTGAGGGTGTCTTGTCCTCTCCTTGGGGGCCTCTCTTTAACTCTGTGCTCAAACATGCAAACATCTGTCCTTTCAAATGACAACTCTGAAAGAAGTGGACTCCTAAGGAGAGGAGACTCTGCGATCTGTTGAGCTGTGTGAAAACCACAATAGATCTCTATGGATGCAGCTCTCCTGAGTCAGACTGAGTCAGACTCAGATTGGGGTGGCTCTTGTTTGCAATCTCTCACCCGGACACCACACCCTGATAAACTCATTGGATACCCAAAAAATGCAAAGAAAACTAGCTGCTTCATAGAAAGTTTATTTCTAAGCAAAAAGAGGATAAATGTGGTATATGTATTTGGTTTTCACATATTATTCACAATCTGACATCTTCCTCGACTGGGCTCATCTTCCTTCAGACAGAAAGGACTTTGTTCCACTAAATGTCATTTTTGGGAAAGCTGCTCTTGGAGGATGAAGAATCATGGTTGTGTCAAACTCCAAGTAGGACCACTTCACCATGCTTTGTCTGTTGCTGTAACAATGTTAGTCATCAGTGGTGGACTCAGTGAGCATCATGGTTAGAGAAGCCATGCAGCTAGGTATTCCTTGTTGTAGTAATAAGGGCGGCGGGG